TGTGTGTTTGTGTGTACCATCAAATCAGATCTGATTGTTATAGGAGGAGATTGTTCCTCCGTCTCCAGCAGAGCATCTGGTGGATTTGAACCGTGCACTTCTGCAACTGCAGTACATAGTTAACTTTCTGGTTTGCTCTGATACAGAGCAGGGATGTCTGATGGTGCAGGAGTTGCACGGCTGACCCAAAGCTGACGGCGCCCCCTGGCGGCTTGAATCCACCAGCTGCTCAGCAGAAGGCCAACTATGTCCTTCTGTGCAATTTATAACCTGTGAAAACCCACCTGCGGATTCAGCTAGGAGTCAATCCCAACTTAACAGCAATGAGTTGAACTGAGTTTGGAGTTACATGTGCTTGGATTTGTGAATGCTTATTTATGGCATTCACAAGAACTATTATTTCTTTTCACACATTGTTTCAGATTTAGTAAAATCACCTACAATCTGTCCTCTCAGTGCTTCTAAATGTGATCGTCATGCTCTTTGAAAGTGTGATTTTTTTAACATCTTTGTACACTGTATTGTTGTTATGTGCCATCGAGTCATTTGCGACTCATAGCGACCCTTTGTACAAGAGCCCTAATCGTCGTTCTATCCTGTGCCAACCTCGCCGTCTCAAACCACTCATTCCCACCATTCCAGTCACAGAATCGATCCAACGCATCAACGTCTTCCTCTCCTGCGCCGCCCCTCTGCCAAACATGATGTCCTTCTCCAAGGACCAGTCTCTCCTTGCAACATGCCCAAAATATGCCAGATGAAGCTTCAGAATCCTTGACTCCAAGGAGCATTCTGGCTTCAGCTTCTCCAGGACAAACCTGTTTGTTCTCCTAGCCATCCATGGTTTATTAGACACTCCTCTCCAGCACCACAGCTCAAAGGCATCAATTCTCTATCATCACTAGTCACTGGCCAACTCCCTGATGCATAGCATGTAACTGCAAAAACTACAGCCTGGATCAGGCACACCTTAGTCTCCAGACTGACGTCGTTGCTCTTCAGAACTCTTGAGAGGTCCCTGATAGCTGACTTCCCCAATGCAATTCGTCTCTTGATTTCTTGGCTGCTGGTACCAAGAGTGTTGACTGTGGAGTATTATCTTTCCCAAATTCTGTGATCAGTCATATCTTCTATAGGTTCTGGTTCTTCATGGTGGAAAAGTAGTTAAAACTCAGGGTGCTAAAAATGATCATGGCTACTGTGTTGTCCTTGATTCTGCATGCTCTGAGATATAAAATGACCAAAGCATGCCTATATGTGCATATACCTAGGTAGCTTCATTTTATGGTATATTCAAGTTGCTATAAAATTTAACTAAGGAACATTATTTTTACCACTCAAATCAATAGGTAGAATGGGAAGTGGTGAAATATTAACACAGAATACATAGGGGGGGAGTAGAAGAGGCTTATTCAGAATAGACTAGTTTTCTGACTAGAAACATTGCCCTCATTCTGAAGGATAATATAGATGAGTCAGACCTTCCGTATGTGAAGTTTTTACTGAAACCAGAAAAAATGGCAATATAAATATCTGATTTGTGTGCTTTTAAATGTATATTAAAACATGTATCTGAAAGTTTACATGTAATTGTACTCAGAAGGACCCCCTCCCATTCCCGCCCAGGCGTCTCACTCCTCCTGTACTTCCTCTTGTGACCCTCACCAATTCCTTTATCCCGTTTTCTTCAGAAAAGAATCAGATGTATGTAGATTCGGTTTACAAAAAGTATGTTACTTATGGTAACTACACTTCTGATATATACAACTAGAGCTCACTTCATTTAAACACCTTCCTTTTAATACTGCATAAACCCTCACTGGTTTCATTATTCAAGAGTGTCCCATATCTCTGGTTATTTCCAGTATTTTCTCATTAAAATCCTGCAATTAACCACTTTATACATTTATAATTACTCTCTGAAGTGACATCTTAAGGTAAATAAAATTAGCACTGCAATCAAATGGTATATATGCAAGTCTTTTTTGCATCTTTTTATATTCCCCTCCATTTTGGTTGTATCAGTTTTGTATAGTTTTAATCTGCATTTATTTCAAGTGAAGGGGAACATTTCTTTCATTTTATCCAGGTCTATTAGTATTTTTTGTCTACTGTCTACAACTTGCTGACTTACTCTTCTTTTGGGGATTAGTTTTCCACCAACAATTTCCAAGCTTTCTTTAAATATTAGCCCTTTAGCTGGTGTGTGAACAGTTAAGCACTGAAATATGAATCAAAAGGTTAGAAGTTCAAACTCACATAAAGGCGTAAGGCTTTACATTCTGCTGCTGGACCCCATGGAGCCGTTCTACTCTGCACACTTGGCACTGCCTGTAATCACGTGACAACTCACAACTTACCAGCATTCTCATGGCCTCATACCATTTCAAGAATACACTGAAATTAAAATTCCTTGAGTGAACGCTTTATTTCCACTAAAAAAAAACCCGAAACAAAACAAACCAGGGACATCACTGATATGGTACTTTTGTTTTTGAAGATCTGATTTTGAAATCCCTCTAAACTCCAGGCCAGACCTGCGTAGGGCACACGCTGAGGTTCGCTCCCACACAACACTGAGTTTACTACCATCAACAGAACTGTGCTGGCAATGACTACAGCAGATGGAACGGTCAACTGCAGCACAGACCTTACCTGAAATTTTCATTACACAATGGAAGTAGATTCCAATCATATTAAAGCCGTCATGGAAATGCAGACTCAGAAATCCACAATCTAAGATTAATGGAGAGAATTTAGGCGATCAATCAACTTCTTGTACTTTCAAGTGTTATAGTCCAGCCCTGTCTCAACAATGTTGATGAATTATGTCAATGTTTAATATGCAGCATCTGCCCTGTTACAAGAAATATTGAAACAATGATTATCCCATCTCTGATACTGGAGAAGTCAAAGGCAGACTTCATGCTGGCTAAAATGTAAAGAACATTAAGACACAATAATTAAAAACGTAACTTGGTAACAGAGGCTGAGAGGGGCAATTACATTAGGGTGAGAGCCAAATAATATTATGAGATGCTGGACAAGGGTTTCTCTACATTTGTGTTCATTTACCTGAGCTTATTTCCGTTTCTGATTTCTTCTTCTGTATACAGTGTTCAAATACTTCATCTTCTTGTCATTCATCTAACCAATTACTGAGCATTCCAAAAATAGTGTTAAAGTTGTAGAGACAGTGTCAAAGGCCTTGCCCTCATAGACGTTACATTCTAGTGAGCACCAGTTGTGATGTGACCATCAACAAACTCCTGTTTTCTAAGGCATATCTGAGTGATACCTGGTAATGGTGAAGGTTCTGATGGAAACCCTAACAGCAACACTTAGAAGAGTTGTCTGCTGAATGTGGTCTCTCATCCACTAAGCAATGGCTGAAACACTGACTTGAATGTCCTTCTGCTCTTGTAAACTGTACTGTGTCCCCTCACACCCCAAATAAGATACTTGTCAACTTAGCTGGGCCCTGAATCCTAATGGTTTGGTAGTTATGTGATGAGGTAATCTTCCCTCATGACTGATCTGCCAATCAGCTGGCAACACCCTTACTCACGATGCAGGCCTGACTTAAGTATCAGGTTATGTCATGGAAGTGACACCTTTTATCTTGAAGGGGGGAAAATGAAGAGAGAGGAGGCACTTGGCTGCCACCAACAGATAAAAGCCAGGCTCAAGTTGAGATGACTGGAGATTTCTGAGGGATCCAGGGCCCACAGAATTGAGATGATGCTGGTATCCTGATTTAGGACACCCAGCCTCCTAAACTATGAAGGAATATTTTTGTGTTAAGCCATCCACTTGTGGTATTTCTGTTACAGCAGCACTAAATGATATCTAAATGTTACAAGAATTTGGATTACATATGAATTTTCATGGAACACCATCTTATCTCTTTATTCTGAGGCTTCCCAACATTCCTGCTACTCTCAACACTTTTACAAAATTTTTCACCACCATGGACTCTGTGACGACTTACTTCTATCACCATAATCAGGGCTGCAAACTACATCTCGTATTTTTAAGGGTTGTTCTTTTTTTTTTTTTTTACCCCTGTCTAAATTCTGAGACAGAAATTCTCAAGAATGACTTAAAATCTTACCAAACAATAATTTATATGTTTTTTTCCTCTGGTGCAGACATGACAGTGTTAAGACCGGAAGCCTGACTGAAGTACTTACCACACGCTCAACACTAACAGGGTTCCTTCCTCTGTTTTCTTAGGACTTAAATTTCAATTAATGTTTTTCTTACACTCATTATCTGTAATCCTTTCTTCAACATGGATCCTGATGGAATTTAAGGTAAAAATACTGAACACATTTTTCCCCATTCTTCACATCAAGCTCAAATTCATTTCCTTCATGTGGGAACTGACTTATAGCTGGTCCCCTAGGGGGCTGCTGGAGACTATAAATTGTGTGGGAGATGACTGCTCACCTTTCTCCCAAGCAACTGCTGAGGAATTTGATCTTTCAGAGAGGTTCACCTCTCTGTTTTAACCTTTGGGCTAACAGCAAACTCTTTATGGCCTATGCCACCAGAGTTCTCTCTACATAAGAATGGTTTTTTTCTCTACCACACATTTTGATGCTTGAACTGGTAGATTCCAAGTGCCCAACTTTTGGTTAAAGGCAAGCTCTTAACCTCAGCTCCCTGAAGTTAAGGAAACCCTATTGAGCAATTCTATTCTGGAACACATGTGGTTATGGCAAGCCAGAAGTGACTCGTCGGCAATGGCTTTCATGGTGTGTCACCTGCGATGAGTTAGAGGGTAGACTCTCCAATGGAAATGGTAAGCACACATCCCACATTTGTCTTCAGTATGAATTCTCTGAAATTCTGAAGGCTGCCACACATGTATTTCTCTCCAGTAAACAGTATGATAAAGACACCCTTAATGTCTTCACCACTCTCCACACACTTACAGAATTCCTCTTCGGTGTGGACCCTCTGACTAGCAACAGTTGGAGTTCTATGCACCTTTTTCATATCTGTACAACTTGTGTCCAGGGTGAACCCTCTGATGGGATTGAAGGTGTGAATTCTGGCCAAAGCTCTTTCCACTCTTCATACTGGAGTGTCTTTTCTCCGCTGTGGACTCGCTGATGTTTCCGAAGGTATGAACCCCGACTGAAGTGCTTCCCACACTGTGCACAATTATATGGTTTCTCTCCTGTATGGACGCTCTTGTGAACATAAAGTTTTGAGGGGAAGTTGAAGCCCCTCCCACACTCCTCACATTTGTAGGGCTGCTCTACTGTGTGGGTTTTGCAGTGATTGTAAAGTGTTGATTTTAAATGGAAGTTCTTTCCGCAGGTGTCACATTTGAATGGCTTCTCCCCAGTGTGGATTCTCTGATGCTCCCGAAATCGTGAAGCCTGAATGAAGGCCCTCCCACACACCTCACAATTATAAGGTTTCTCTCTCTTATGGATTTTGCAATGAACATTAAGTCCTGATCGACGAATGAAGCTCTTCCCACACTCTTCACAATTGTAAGGCTTCTCTCCCGTGTGCACCCTGCAGTGATCTTTAAGTGCTGATCTCCGACTGAAGTCCTTCCCACACTCCTCACAGTTATAGGGTCTCTCACCTGTGTGGATTCTGCAATGAATATTATAGTCTCCTCTACGACTAAAGCACTTCCCACACACTTCACATTTATAGGGTTTAGCCCCAGTGTGGATTATTAGGTGAAATTCATAGTTGTATTTCATCATGAAGCTCTTTCCACACAGAAAACATTTGTATGGTCTCTCAGTCGTGTGGACTCCCAGATGTGATCGGAGGTGTGCTCTGCGCCCAAAGTTTTTCCCACATACTTCACATATGAATGGCTTTTCACCACTATGGATTTTCTGATGGGTCCGAAGACCCGCGGACTGCCGGAAGTCCTTCCCACACTCGGCACACTTGTAAGGTTTCTCCCCCGTGTGGAGCAAGTAATGGATGTTAAGTGTTGACCTTCGACGGAAGTTCTCACCACAGTCATCACATTTGAAAGGTTTCTCCTCAGTGTGGATTCTCTGATGTTCTCGAAGATACGATGCATGGATGAAGGCTCTCCCACATTCTTCACAGGTAAAAGTCTTCTCTCCTACATGAATTTTGAAGTGATAATTAAGTGCAAATCGAGAGCGAAAGGCTTTCCCACAGACCTCACATTTGTGTGGTTTTGCTATAGCATGGACTTGCTGATGAGCCTGCATATGTGAACTCGAGCTGAAGAGCTTAGTAAACTCGTCATATCTGAAGTCGTTCTCCGCTAGGTGAATTCTCTGATGAATATGAAGAACTGAGATGTACCGGAAGCTTTTTCCACACATGCTACAGATATGAGGCTTTTCTTCTGAGCTTGACTGCTGATGAAGATCAAAGTTGGAGACATCAGTGGAGGGTTTTGTATATTCATACAAAAACTGGTAAGGTCTTTCTCCTGTGTGAATAATAGAAAGCCCTGCCCCAAACTGGCATGAGGAATCACCATGTTCAAAGAACTGAGAGCTATTTATCATAGCGCCTTCACAGCTGGTCAAGTCACTTGCAATTTGTTGCCAGATCTGCCAGCAGGAGAACTCTTCATAGAGTTGTTCTTCTGGAGCAATTACCATTTCACTGTGTATCTTGCCTCCTGTGATGACAAAAAAAAAGCAGAAATGTGGAAAAGGAGAGCTTTGTTTAATGTCAAGATTTCAAATTTCTGACACAGCATAATACTTTAATAAACCCAGTGATTATTTAAATAGCTTCCTCCACCCCCCTGTATTATTTCTCTGGTTTGCAAGGCTACAAAACTGAAAATATGGTCTAGCTGACATCATGAAAGATTAATGATAGCTGTTAGGTTATACTAAATCTCCGTGAGAATACAGGTAGGAATTGAAGACTTAATTTAAAAACAAAAAGAATCTAATTATTCAAAATGTTAACTTGTCATTATTTTTACTGAATTATAAAGTCAGTGTGCAAATGGGACAGTAAATTATGGAACTAACTGTTGTTATGGAGTCAGAACTAACCCACAGCTGACCCTCCTGCAGGTTTTCAGAGGCTGAAATCCCATTGGAAGTGACTACTCAGCTTTCTCCCTCAGAGCAGCTGGTGGATTCAAACTTCATGCTTTTGGGTTAGCAGTGTAGTTCCTTACCACTTAGCTACCAGAACTCCCTATAAATTATGATTATTTATCTATATCTATCTCAATAGGAATTGTAAGGAAAGCCAGTAACAATAACAATCAATACCTGGCATACATGAGTTTATGCACTTGAGCACAGGCGCATTCATCTGTCTGTGCAGGTTCCTGTGTTACTATGGTGCTGGAGGAGTTCCATCCAAGTAATTAAGGCAGATTAGGAAAAAGCGTCCTGGCCATCTACTCCTGAAAAATCAGCCTATGACATCCTAAGAATCATAGCAGCACAATCTCATTGTACATAGGGTCACCATGAACCAGGGGCTAGCTTGATAACAGCTAATAACAGCAATAATGTATCTGGAATATAAAATACCTGTGTTTATATTTATGGTGTCATGACTGGGTTGCATTTCCCTAAATGAAATATTGGTTCCTGGTACCTATGACGTGACTTTGCTTGGTTTGGGGAGTCCTTGCAAATGTTATCAGTAAACGTGAGGCCATTTTGGAATTTTTATTGTTGTGTGTCATCGAGTCAAGTATGACTCAGAATGATTTTATGGCGAGCCTAAATCCTGTCGTATCTTGTGCCATCCTCATTTTCTCTGACACACTAGAATCCATTGCTGAAGTCACCATGTCCATCCACCTTTTGAAGGAACAGAAATTTAATTCCTCACAGGTGAAGTTAATATATCTAACTCAGAATCTCGGTGAATGAATTTCTTTCTTTTTGGTAGCCCAAGGAGTTCCTTGGTTGGTTGGTTCGTAGATAATCCTCATATGGCATCTCTCTTCTTCATGATGTAAGAAATTTCTGCCAAAATATCTATTTAAACTTGAAGTAAAAACATGCCCAAAGAGAACTTCCTTTTATCAACTAACTGATTATGTTATATTAGCTTATATGCTAAAACAGAATTACATCATGGAGGATAATTACATTATATCATTGAAAATGATCAGCTCTATCCAAGGTCAGCTGCTTAGATCACAGTTGTTACATAACAGTTGGCTTTTCAAGCTATTACATTTGCCCCCTCAGGCCTTCAGCTACCTTAATTGCAGACACATAGTCTTGCAAATCATCAACAGCTGTGGGATTAGAATAAGAGAAAGAATCCTTCCTACACTGAGCAGCAAGACTTAAAGAAGACTGGAGCAAAACTCTGGTGAGAGCAAGAGCCTGGTGGGGGTGAGACCGTGGTAATGATGGTGAAGAGAGGGTGGAGATTGTGGCACTACTGTGAGGAGACTGTGGCAAGGTGTAACAAAGAACTGACTGAAGGGTAAATAACATCACCACCAACAACATGATGCTAAAGAGGCTGTATTAGAGGCAGTTATGTAATGATGTATCACTTCCCAAGATGTGTTCTGATGTGCAGGGGATTCAGGTGTAATAATACATCCTTTTTAAAATCATTTAAAAAAATTTTTTATTTTGTATTGGGTTGCTTACAAAGGTTTTTATTACTATTAATGAATTTTTAATGCAACATACATATATATATTTATTTTAATCAAAGTTTACTGAGACTTAGGGTTTCCATTCATTCATTGTTGCACATTTGCCTCCCTGCCCTTCCCTCCCCTCCATATTCATTTTTCTCTTTGAAGATTAAAAAATTCTTTCATTGTTATACAATACCCCCAGTCCACAGTAATATGCATTTCTTTTTCTGTAATCTTGTCATGAAAATAATACTAATGCTATATTCCTTTCAAACAGTTCTCTCCCTCATCTGTTTCAATGCAGTATACATTATTTATCCCCTCTTTTCTTAGGTTTCCCCAACTCCAATATCAGTCCCATTTTACAACAGTGGCACTATGCAGTATTTGTCCTTTTGTGACTGAGATATTCCACTCAGGATAATGTCCTCCACGGTCACCCATTTTGCATATTTCATGAGTTCTTTGTCTTTCAATGTAGCATAGTATTCCATTGTGTGAATATACCACAGCTTCTCTATCCATTTGATTGTTGATGGGCACTTGGGTTGTTTCCAACTCTTTGCTATTGTGACCAAAGCCGCAATAAACATGGGTGTGCATATATCTGCTTGGATGGCAGTTCTGGTTTCTTTAGGGTAGATTCCCAGTAGAGGAATTGCCGGGTCAAACAGTATTTCTATTTGCAACTTTTTTAGAAAGTGTCATATTGCCTTCCATAGTGGTTGTGGACCATTTTACACTGCCACCAACAGTGAATAAGGGTTCTAGTTTCTCCACAATCTTGCAAGCATTTGCTGCTTGCTGTTCTGTTGAATTTTGCTATTCTTACTGGGGTAAGATGATATCTCATAGTTGTTTTGATAACTCACCTTTAATCTGATGATACCTGTGATGAGATTTATGGAGAGTTCCCTGCGGTGTGGTGTGAGCAAAAAAGGGGGAAATGAAATACCACCAAGAAAAAAGAGCTGGGATGGATCATGTCCTTTGGCCTGGATTCCTGCACTGGACGCTTCTACAACTGGAAGGTTCCAAAAGGAAATCTTTTCCTAAAGGCAGCACTTTGACTTTGGATTTCTAGCCTTCTGTTGGTTTGGTGGTAAGGAACACTGCTACCAACACAAAGGTAAGTGATTCAAATCCACAAGCTGCTCTGTGGGAGAATAATGGGCAATCTTCTTCTGTGCAATTATATGGCCTCTAAAAACTTGCTGGAGGGCAAGCTGTGAGTCAGCTCCAACTTGACAGTACAGAACAAACAGTAAGAGAATAAATTTCCATTTGCTAAAGCCATATATTAGTGGTCCCTCAGTACTAGAGGCACTAGAGAACTAAGACCTTCAATTAGAACATGAAACAGAACAGAACTTATCAGAATATCAACAAGTAGGAAAGGTGTCTGGACATGAAATGCCTTTTAACATTTTTTTAGAATAGAAACATTTTCCCCATTTACTGATGAGACATTTTGTCCATTCCAAAAAAATTTCTTTGTATTGTATTCCATGTTCAAATGTTTCCAACACATGTTTTAAAAGTTAGGAACATAAAAAGGAAGGTACCATATGGAGAGCTAAATTCCAGTGAAGGAATCTTTTGAAAAGAAAAATAGATTATGTATCTTTTGTTGTTGTTGTTGACTGCCTTCAAATCGAGCATGACTCATAGCGACCCTATAAACAAAAGGCATGAAGCCCCTCTACAACTATCAACATTTATCAAAGTTCATAGAGTTGCCGGAGTCATATTGTTTAGGAAGTGGATGCCACTCCTGCTTCCAAACCTGTCATAGTATGTTATTGATGTTATGTGCCACTGAGTTGCCTGTGATGCATAGCGACCCTACGTACAACAGCTCTGAACCCTTCCCTGTCCTGAGTCAGTCTCACTAATTCCAAAACACCACCCCCCAATGCCATAATTACTGTATCAATTCATCTCATTTGGGGTCTTCTCCTGCGCTGTCCCTCCACCCTTCTGAGCATGATGTCCTTCTCCAACGATAGGTCTCTCCTGGCTATGTGCCCAAAGTATATGAGACGGAACTTCAAAATCCTACCTCCAAGGAGAAACTTGATTTTGCCCTCTCCAAGACAGATCTGTTTTCCTGGCAGTCCATGGTATGTTTAAGACTCTTCTCTAGCACCACAACTGAAAGGCTTCTATTCTTCTTCTGTCATCCTCAGTCACTGTCCAACTCTCTGAAGCATAACAAGTAATTGAGAAGACCATGGCCTGGATTAGGTGCACCTTTGTATCTAGACGGACACTGTTGCTCTCAGGAGGGTCTACATTTATGATTAATCATAATGAGTTATAACTTTCAAACAGTACATTACAGAGAGGGAACAAGAGACTGTGAGAATTTGTCTGCATGTGCATTCTAAATAAGTCTTCTCATATTTTAATGTTAACCAGTTCCAAATGAAATACTAGGTCTTTATAAAAACACAAGGAAAATTAGGTGAAACCTATCTTTCATCACTTGCTATATATGTAGCAAAAAAAAGATGTGCCTTCATATTTTTGAGTCAGAGATAAACCAGTAATATAGGCAACACTCAGCTGTGTTCTCCTCTTCTAAACATCCCATATTGCACAACTCAACAAGTCACTGAGTCAAGTCACAGCCTGATCCTCTATTGGGTTTTCAGAGGGTCTGAATAGCACAAGAGAATCACCCATTTTTCCTCCCTCAGAGCAGCTGGTGTATTTGAACTGCCTGCCCTGATGTTGGCAGCACAACTTCCTACCCTCCAGGCTACCAGAGCTTCCTTGTCTAGTACAAGAAAGGGGAAACCTGGGGCAGTGATGTGGATGTGGAATTTGGAAAAAGCTGAATGACTCTACCTGTCAAATCATTCAAGGGCAAAATAGCTTACATGATTGTTATCTAAAACCTCAACATTTGTTTGTTTTCTCCTTCTCTAGCAGGCCTGTCTCAGAAGAAGTGTCTTACTGTGAATTATTCCATATAGCTTTTTTACCTGTAGTGGATGTAACTCTCACCACATGGCCGGGGCTACGATGCAATCATCAGGTCTCACTGGCTCACCAAGGGGAGTGTAATGCTTATTAGTAATGTAATTAAGGTAAACAGCACCTTTTGTGTGGGAATATGCAAAGAAAATGTATGGAATGCTAACATGGGGAAGGTCAGCTTTGCTATCCTTCCAGGCTTAAACTGAGCAGGTACAAGGACAGAAGATGGGCATCTTACTATTATCAGGAAAGAAGAAACAGAAAGCACAATGCATCCTGTGGACCCAATTCCCAGGAGACAAAGCAAGGGAGATGTAGCCACAGCTAGAGATTCAGCAGCAAAAATGGCAGCAGAGGTGGTGGAGAACCAGAGAGCAGAGTGAGACAGAGCAAAGCTGGATCTGAGAACCACAGAGACAAAGCTGAGTACTTCTGAGCCTCAGGAACTGGTAGATGGAAGGCAGCACAACACTGGCAGAATTAAAGGAGCTTTAAACACTTCCAGAGCACAGAGAAGATGTGTGCCTATGAGCACAGCTGAGAAGAGGCTGCCCTGATAGAAGAACATTATCCTTAGTGTTTCCGTGAAAAACCTCATCGTATCATCTGAGTTCTATGTGTGATCACTGCAATGAATAAGCAAACCCAGGGAGCTCTGGTGGCTCAGTGGTAAAGAACTGTACTACCAATGCAAAGGTAAGCATTTTGAAGCTCCATCTCACATACTTTGGGCACGATGCCAGGAGGAAGAGCCTAGTCCTTACAGAAGGGACATCATGCTTGGGAGGGTATAGGGACAGTGTAAAAGAGGAAGACCCTGGACGAGATGGATTGACTCAGTAATACGGCATAGAGATAGGTGTGTTTGAGACAGTGAAATTGGCTCAGGATAGGGCAGGTTTCAAAGCTACTGTATACAGGGTGGCTATGAGTCACAGGGGACTTGATGGTACATAACAATAACAAGCCCCTGTGCGTGGAGTAATTCTGTTGTGGCAGCAACAGGAGACATATCTGAGAAAGAGCAAAGACAGTAGCAGTAACACCACACAAGAAAGTGGAGGAACAGACACTCAGAAATCACTACAACAGGGGACCATGGAGAGCTAAAGGTCAAATTACATGCGACTCTATGAGGTTTTCAGTTTAAACTAAGAAGACATTTTTCAGCTTTTCGGCGGAGACACAGCAGCCTAAAAGTTACATTTCTGAAGCCTCACTTTGGTGGTGATGCACTCTGGGGATGGGATGGGGGTAAGAACAGGAGTGGAAGCAGAGGGGTCAGTACAAATGCTGCTGTGTGAACCCATGCAAGAGGTCCAGCAGTGAGGACCACAGCAGGGCAAATGTAGCGGCAAGAAGGGAAACAGATGGGCCAACACCAGGATGGAACCCTCCTGTGCTGACTCGGACCTCAATTTCCTCTTTTTTGAGGGGTACTGCCATCAGCATCTAAAGTCCTTTTTTCCTTTCTAAGAATACTTCCTTTTTAAAGGCTGATACCCTATGATAAAGCAAATCATGTATTTTAAATGAACCCATGAAAGGCACAATTTTCTGAAAACTTGGGTCCTGCCACGACTCATCAAGTAACCAAAAGCAGTGTTATTTTCAAGCATTTCTTTCTAACATTCCCCTCCTGAGGAAGCATCTTTTCTTTGGAGACCCAGACATGCTTGGGCAGAAAATATGTGCACTAAAACATAGATGACCTCGAACCAAAACCAAACCCATACCATCAGGTCTATGGTGACTGAAGGGCCACCCTCCATCCAATCTCTGAGGCTGTAAATTTTAACAGGAACAGACAGCCATGCCTTTCTTCCAGGAGCATCTAGTGAATCACAATATTGGCCTTTTGGGTAGCAGCAGTTATCCCACCAGGCCACCAGGGTTCCCTCAGCTTCATCTACCTCTAAGCAAAGTCTACTTGCATTAAATTTCCCCAGGCTGGTCCTCACTCTACCAGCAGCCAGAGCTTGTGCCACAGTGTGTTCCTTCCATTCTCATCAACTCTGATGTTTTCTACCCTATTTCCTTTCATTATAAATTGTCAGGTCCCAAACCCAGGTGACTGTCATTTCAAATTTCCCACACCCAGGAGTGTAAAATGGTGCAACCACTATGGAAGGCTGTATGGCGCTTTCTCAAAAAGTTGCAAATAGAAATACCATTTGACCCAGTAATTCCACTACTGGAAATACACCTTAAAGAAACCAGAACTGTCACCCAAGCAGATATATGCACACTCTTGTTTTTTGCTGCTTTATTCACAATAGCAAAGAGCTGGAAATAGCCCAAGTGCCCATCAACAAACAAAAAGAGAAGCTGTGGTATAGTCACACAATGGAATACTATGCAGCAATGAAAAACAAAGAACTCATGAAATATTATACAAAATGGGTGACCCTGGAGGACATTATGCTGAGTGAAGTATCTCATTCACAAAAAGACAAATACTCTATAATGCCACTGTTATAGAACAGGACTAATATGGGGGTTGAGGGTAAACTATGAAAAGAGGGGATAAATAATGTACACTGCATTGAAACTGATGAGGGAGACAGAACTGTATAAAAGGAACATATGAGTAAGTATTATTGGCATGACAAGAGCCCAGAATAAGAGATGTATAGTAAAGGGGAGGGGAGGGGAGGGGAGAAAAACCACTGTATAACAATGAAAGAACTTTTTTCCCAAAGAAAAAAGTGAATTAGGAGGGATAGGGGACAGGGAAGAAAATGTATTAACAATGAATGAAAGGAAATAGAAAAAAAAAAAAAAGAGTATGTTCAAACTTGTTAATACCAAATAAAGTACACATTTTCTTAAAAAAAAAATTCGCACATCCTTGACCACCTAAGAAGAGCAGAGGGGCTGTCCTCACCCACATAGACCAGGTTCCTGAAATTCTCCAGCATCACATCCTGGTACAGCATCCTCTGGGCGGAGTCCAGCAGCCCCAGTTCCTCCTCAGTGAAGACCACAGCCACATCCTTGAATGTTACTGCCTCCTGCAATGTCAAACACAAGGACACCCAGTCTTAATCCTATGTCCACTTACAGTGGGGCAGCAGAAACAAGGCCGAGTGGTGGAGGCAGAGAAGGGAAGAAGTGGTTCCAGACTTCGAGGAACATGAGTGAACCCGCAGATTTCCCAGCCCTCCTGCTGTTCTGCCAATGTCATGCACTGATTTTCCTTAGCTTCACCCACAGCACAGCACAGCAAATCCAACCCATTGTTGATTCCCACTCATAGCAATTCTGCACTGGGTTTCAGAGGCTATAAATCTTTATGGAAGGGGACTGCCCATCTTTCTAGGGCAGAGAAGCTGGTGGATTTGAATCATTGACCTTTTGGTTAGCAGAGCAACATGCACACGTTATACCCTCAGAGCTCCAGGGTGAACAGTCTCCTCCCCTAGGATGTACTGTCTCTGAAAACCTGCTGGAGAGTCAGCTATGAGTCAGTTCTGACTAGACAGCATACAACAACAACAATATTCTTGCACACAGCAACAGTAATATTATTCATTTTCTTAGGGAGCTATGGCGGCCTAGTGGGTAAGGAGTTGTGCTAACAACTCAAAGGTAGGCAGTTCAAATCCACCAGCTGTTACAAGGCAGAAAGATGGACAATATTCTCCCATATAATTTACAGTCTCTGAAAACCCACTGGGGTGGGGGTGCATAGCTCAAAGTTGGTTCCAACTCAAAGGCACATAACAATAACATATTATTATTACTTAGTATCTTTAGAATAAAGCCCTAGAATTTTAAATGCTGCATGCTGAGTTGCAAAAGGGTTACTCTTTGATATCACCAATACTCCAAAAAAAAGTTAGTTTCAACATAAATTGATAGTATCCACTTTCGTCCTCTCTTACACACACTAACTCTAGACAGTTTTCTTCACTATCTGCCTAACAACCTTTCAGTAGCCTGACTTGGATGAATAGGTAAGTCTCTGAGCAGCATCAATGGTTTGCTCACACCTACTAACTTAGAGAGTTCTTGTAGTCTAGTGATAAGAAACTGAGCTGCAAGCCCTAAGGTATGTGGTTCAAATCCACAAGATGCTCCAAGGGAGGAAGATGGGTAATCTCATATAAGGCAATTCAAAGCCTCTAAAAACTTGCTGGAGGGTCAGCTATGAGTTGGTTTCAACTTGATGGCACACAACAATAACAAACTAACCTAGAGGAAACGGTTCAGCCTGCCCTGTAACACAGCAGAAGAAAGGCCTGGTGATCTGCTTTAATAGGGATCACGGCCAAGAAAACCCTGTGGTGATTAGCTGAGCTCCAGCACTCAGAGCTGCCCTGGGCTTGACAGGCCTGATGGAGCAGGCGCCGCTGGGAACCTCACTGTGACCAGGCATTCACACGCGGTTTCTGAGGCTTCAGCAGATGGTGTATGGAGACAAACTGTTTGCCTGAGAAGATACATACTGGGCTGATTCTCCCTGCAACAAAATGACTTAAAGAGTCATTTTATTTCTCCATTTCACCACTTACAAGTACAAACGTCAAAACACATTGTTTGACATTTCCCTCACAACTAGATGAATTATGCTTGGGGTGCACTGACATCTGTAAGGGCGATGGAAAAACCTCAGCAATGAGTAACAGCGCGCTAAAAATGCAATCAGTGTCACTGACCTTATATACAGCAAGTTTGTAGGAATGGCCAAAGTACCTATATGCTTATGATAAGAAAAAAATGGGGGGAAATGCTATGTGGCAGTTTTTCTCTGTAATCCACAAGGTCACAAGAGCCAGAGCTGGTTTGGTTTCTTAAAGAGACATGCATTTTGCCTTCTGTCCTCTCAACTCACATTACTGCATCTATTAATTGCAGCACTCAGGAGGCTGCTGGGTTGGAGTCACCATGCTCAAGTGCACAGCCTTGGACTTACTCGTCACATCATGCTGGACATGTCACTCCACACACTTTCTATCCTCCACTCACCAAGGCCCTCAATTATAGGAGTCTCTTGGGGAGTAAGCAAGGCAATATATATCGCACTGGGAATAGTGTGTTGCTAAGTAATTAAGACCAAGGACTTAACAAGCATTGCTGCTGCTGCCGGTTGTCATGGAGTCAGTTCTGACTCACAGCAGCCCCATGTGTGCAGGGTGGAACTGCTCCAACAGGTTTGAAAGCTGTGGCTTTTCAGAAGCTGAACCTGGCGCCCATCTCTCTCAGCACCTCTGTGTGGCTTCAAACCGTTAACCTTTCAGAGAGTAGCCCAGTGTTGAGGCATTTGTACCCCCTAGGGACTCTATGAACAAACACAAAATATCACTATTATTTTTTCATCATCGTTTCACTGAATTCCATGGTTGCATATTATTCCAGTTACAATACAAAGCATTGGGCTAGCTTTGTCCCTGGTTCCTAATGTTGCCTATAACCTTTGGCATTTCCCAGTAATAAGAGTATTCATCCTGGGCTCTTGGTACCACATCTAATTGTTTAAGCTCAGGACAGGTAATGGTCATCTCTCAGCATAGCCAGGAAAGTCTATGTGCCAAGAGGCTTTGAGTCACGTGATATCACCCCAGTTCCCACGATGGGAGGGAGACTGGCCTAGATACCATGAATCATGCTGCCATGAAATCCTATGGAAAACTCTGGACACCTGTCATGAATTGAACTGTATCTCCCAAAAATACATGCATGTAATGACATCATGTGAAAATTTTGAAACAATCCCACATAATCAGGGGATAAACCAAGCAGCTGAGAGTGAGATGCAACTTCTTCAACTCCATCATCTCATCATCCCTTGTAAGGCAAACATCTCAGTTCTCGTATGCTGCAAGAAATGATATCCCACAAGCAAACAGACATAAACTCTCTTCTAGTTTAGGAGGCTAGTGGTCCAAATTCAGGGTGCTGTTTCTAGGGGAGCTATCAGCTCTGGAATAAGGTCTTTGTCTCTTTCGGCATCTGTAGGCCAAGTGTATTTTGAGATCTCCAAGTGTCCTGGTCGTCCCTGGGGTCATTAACCCTCCCAGTGCAAGAACTCAAATTCCAAAGGCTGTTGTCTGCTCCTGGCAATTCTTTCTTGGTGATGTGAAGTCCCTCTTTTAACACATTTTCTCCCCATTTCTCGCTCTTATAAGGCTAAAGGTGTTACATGTTACACTGAAAGGAGATTTCCCTTACAATAGAGCAGGGCTGTGATGATTAAGGGGTACTGTATTTCACCCTTAATCCTTTTACAATTAATGGTTTATTAAACCACGGACAATCAATACATAGTTTTGGTATTATATCATGACAGTGAGGTTCCCTGAGTGTGGCCTTTAACACTTTTTATCTCACAAGAGATAAAAGGAGAGAAAAAGCTGGCAGGAAGTGAAACCTCAGCACCACCAAGAAGAGTCGGAAGTGGAGCACATCCTTCAGAGCCGAGTTCTAGTGCTGGGAAACTTCTAGAACCAGAAGACAAAAGCCTTAATCTAAAGCCAACACTCTGATTTTGGACTTCTAGTTCTTTATTCAACTGTGAGAATAAATTTCTGTCTGTTAAAGTCATCCACTTGTGGTATTTCTGTAATGGCAGCATCACATAACCATGTTATCTTCAAAGATGATCTTTTCCCACAACCTTAACAAAAACATAACTGTTTTAAACTTTAACTGAATTATAGCAAAGAGAAGAATTTTTCATTACTTTTACCAGAAGCTCAGTGTGCTCTGAATAACGAATAAGCTCTCTTTGTTCTCTCTATCCCTCCTGCGTGTACCCTGCACTCAGTAACACACTTTGGCCTCTATACATTTGTCTATGCTAGGCATTTCTCATATATGGGATCATATGTTTATTATACGTCCTTTTGTGATTGACTTACTACACTCAGTATGTGTTCAAAGTTTATTCAGTAATCATGTATCAAGTGCTATGTACCTACAATGGCTCTATAATAACTCTTTGTACAAACATACTACATTTTGTTTATCTATTCATCTGTTGCTGGGTACACAGGCTGTTTCCACTTTTTGGCTATTATGAATAGTGGTACAACATACATAGGCATTCAAGTACATTTGTGTTCCTGCTTTTAGTTCTTTGGAGTACATACCTAGGAGTAGAATTGCTGGGTCATACGGAGCCCTAATGGGGTAGTACATTAAATGTTGGTGCTATTAGCCGAAAGGACAGTGGTTTGAATCTACCAGCACTGGATGGGAGAAAGATGAGGCAGTCTCTTCTTATTAAAATTTACAGCCTCCTGATAAGACTCTAGTATGTTTCTTGATAAGAAACCTGATTGTTGTTGTTAGGTGCCATCCAGTAAGACTCATTCAGACCCTATGAACAGATCTGAACCCTGCCCCACCCATCCTGTGGCAAGCCATATTGTGGAGGACCTTCCTCTCTTTAAATGTACTCTATACTTCTTACGGAATTGCCAAATCTGTTTTCACAATGGCTGTACCATTTTACAATCCCAGCAGCAATGGATGATGGTTCTAATTTCTCCACATCCTCCCCAAACACCTACTGTTTTCCATTTTTTAAAACTACAGCCATCTCTGGCAGCCACAGTCTAGGACACAGATCCTTAGTAGAGAACACGTTCTCTTTCCTTGACTCTCTCTGTCACTGAACTGCATGCCCCGCACTCCTCACCCCAAGTTTCTCATGTTTCCCAGGATGAAAATGAAGACAAGACCAAGGACCTCTCCACACTGAGCTGCTCTGAGAAGGAACCGCAGTGACGTCTTCACCTGGCAAGTCTAGTATTATTCTGGGACACCTTAAGCTCAGCTTATGTATTACTCTGAGGAAACTAATCAATACCTGGGGTGGGGGAAATCTGTCAGTAAATGAAACACCCACAGTAAGGCTCACTCACGAGGAAGATCACTACAGCTCTTCTTCAGACATAACATCCGACAATACTGGTTTGAAGTAGCTGCTGGGTATCGCGGGAGACACTGTGCAGGATCTGAATATTCCATCAACCACACAGCCAGTGTCCCCTAAGTCAAATGTAGCTTCCCAATATTAAGCTCCTGATACATGGATACATGTATACAAAGCCACGTGTTCTGGCTTCTTCTCAGAATTTGCTTCTGTGGCAAAAAGATTTTATCCAGGAAATTACCATTGCAGCACTGCTTAAAATAAAACTCTGAAACCATCCATGTGCCTATGAGTGGGAAGTAGTTAAAAGGTCCATCAATGGGAATATGGCATAATCATCAAAATGAACATTATATACTATTTTTTTTCTTGTTGTGTACCATCAAGTCAGATCCGACTGGCACAAGAGGAGATTGCCCCTCCTTCTCCAGCGGAGCATCTGGTGGATTTGAACCGTGCCTATGGACTGCAGTGTAGCTTCTTGCCACTAGGCTACCAGAACTCCCTAAAATGAACATTATATACTAGTAAGTGAAAAGTGCAACTTCAAATTATCCATACAGTATGACTAAACAACATGCCTCTGGAAACTCCATGAACTTTGATAAATGATGATAGTTATAGAAAGGCTTCAAGGCCTTTTGTTCATAGAGCAGCTATGAGTTGTGCTCGACTTAATGGCAAACAACAACAACAACATGGTACAAATAGCTTTGAATGCATATGAGGAAATTAATTGAGAAAATATAAACTAATCTCTAAGGAGGGAAGTAATAAAGTGGGAGAACTGCTCATTGCTATTCATTCTTTTAGTAATTTTTAGAAGGAAAATTTTAAAAAGATAAAATCAAACAGAAACTAGAACCAAAGCAAGGCTGGCACACAGCATTTGCTGAAATGCCTGCTGCCTGTCCTGGGTCCTCTCAGCACAACCCAGGCTGGAGGAGGGCAAATCCAACTCACCTGGAACACGCTCATTTTTCTGTCCTGCTTTTAGTGATGTCTGGGGCTCTGAGATATGTGGAGTCCTGGGAAGAAGAAAAAATTCATGTTACTTGCCCACATGCACACTTCTGCGGTCTTCACCAAAGGGCCCCTTCATCAGGAGGCCCCAGCTGCATAGTCCGAGGTGCAGAGCATAGCATGGCCACCATACACCCCTGACCTCTTTCAGCCAGTCTCAGTGACTAGTCTGCATAGCCACACAGAGCGTCCCTCATCGGTACAGCTTTGTGACCTCAACTCCAATTCTGACCAAAAGAGATTGAGCCACTATGCAAACTGAAACCACAATGAGATACCATCTTACTCCAGTAGCAAGGTTTAGCAGGACAGGAAGTAATAAATGCTGGAAAGGATATTGTTGGTGGGAGTGTAAAATGGTACAATCACTCTGGAAGGCAGTTTGGCATTTACTCAAAAAGATGAACATAGAAATTCCATATGACTCAACTATTCCACTGCTTGAAATATACCCTGAGAAAATGAGAATGGAGGCACAAATAGAGACTTGTACACCAATGTTCATAGCAGTGTTATTCACCATAGCAAGACTACGGAAACAGTCTAAATGCCCAACCACAATGGAATGGACTGAGAAATTATGGTACATTCAAATAGTGGAATACCATACACAGGAGCAATGGTTTTATAAATTACCACCTGACATGAGAGCAACTGGTGAGCATTATGCGAAGTGAACTAGCTCAGTCTTAAAAGGACAAATACTGTGTAAGACCATTATTGTAGATTGTGAACAAGGATTTCAAGGGGGACAGGAAGGCTTAATCATAGAATCACACAATTTGATGGGTGAAGGGAAGGGATGGGTAAAGGAAAGTGGAAAGATCTGGTGTGAAAAACAATGTATATGAACTTTGCATGTAAACAAGTATAAAATAAAATTTAAAAAAAATTTTTTTAAAGAAATTGAGTTACTATAGCCAGCATCTATACACAAAGAGCAGCATGGACGGCCAGCTTTCATCTCACATACTCTTTTTTTTTTTTATCTCACATACTCTTGACATGGTATCGAAGTTTGTAGACAAGGAAGGACATGACGCTTGGAAAGATAGAGGGACAGTGGAATAGAGAAGACGACTTCTAACAAGATGGACAGACACAATGACTGCAAAAGTGGCATCGACACAGGAGGGATGTGAAGGTGGTGAAGGATTGGGTGGGCTTTGTTTTGGCACTTCTAGAAGTCAGATCTGACTCTATGGCACCTAACAACAAAATCAACAGCAAGTATGCCAACTAGGAGTCCACTCTGGGGCCAATTTATATGTGATATCAAGACATTGGCATGGCTTCTAACAAGCTGTGTCATCTTGAACAAATCATCTCTTGGCCTCAAGTTTGTCATCCATCAAAAACAAAGTACAGAACCCTGACCAAGTGGATTGTTGGGGGTCGGAAACACTTGTAAAGTGAAGGTTTCTGATTTCTTTGTACTTTAGAAAAGCAAAGTGGATGCAAAAAACACGCTTTCAATTTAAAAAAAAAACCATGGTAGGTGTGTGAATTCCCAATGTCATTTGCCTGTCAAGTGAAGGTCATGTGCAATCTCCAGAAGAATTCACTAATTTAATCCAGCCTAGTTTTCTGCACTAGCAAATTGTTGCCTTAACAGTAGTAAGTCTAAAAAAAAAAAAAAAACAGTAGTAAGTCTTTCTTGACAGTTACTGGAAATTTCCACAATTAAAAATGGTGAGAGAGAAAACCATTCACTGTATGGTATTCATTTTGCCGTGCATAAAAATACACCTGAAGACCCACTACCCAGAAACATATCCTGAAGTAATGGGTAATCAAAAACTTCTTTGTTGCTGTTTTCTATATTTTCTGAATTCTCCACAATGACATGGCCCCATAAAAATAAAAAAACAATCAAATGAAATGACTTGGAATGGTAAAAAATCAACAAGTCAGAAACCTTAAAGTCCTTTTAAAATTCCCCCAAAGTAACCTAATTGCAGGCAGGGTCCTGTGGCTCTGGGAGAACAGACCACAGACACCAGGAGCTCTGTGCTCAGGCTGCTGAGGCTCCATGCCCAGCTCCACCTCCTCCCAGCGGCTCAATGACTACAGTTAAATAATTTATACTCATGGCTCAATCTCACCTTCAAAACAGGAAAAGAAAAGTAATGCCACATAACAGAGCCATACTTCGTGGCATAAATACATTAATTTGTAGAAAACTCCTAGACTTTAATTTAGCAGGTAAAGGCCAACCAATTATTATCGCTCATTACCCACGCAAGGATACAAAAGACACCTGGAATTTCTCGGCCAAGGAAGAACACCAGTTAGCCTCTATTGCCAGTAACCAGAAAAACCTCTAACTCCATGCAGTTCTTTTTTGAAAGGCTGGGACTGGGGAAGGAAAGGAGGCTGTAGCCTCCAATGATTGCCACTGTCCCCAGGAACCACTTCATTCTCACCCCGTACTAGCTGGAAGCAACCCATTTCTTCCTAAAAAGGATGTCAGAACAGATAAGATCCGATGATCCTGCAGGGATCAGGGAGAACAGCCAGCACTGCAGTAGGAATTCTTCCTCCATCTCGCACTCACAGCTTTCAGGAAATTGAGTGATTCTTGAGAAGCTACACAGTAGGAACAAGGGGATTCACTCTAGACTGGGAAGTGTTTCATTCATTTTTAACACTAAGGTCGTTGTGTGTTCAAAGTGGCTTGTACCTGGCTATTAACCCAAACATTGGTGGTTTGAACCCATGCAGTGGTGCCGTGGAAGAAAGGCCTGGCCTTTCCTAAAGATTACAGACAAGAAAACCCTATGGAAGGAGCCCTGGTGGAGCTGTGGGTTAAGTGTTGGATCAACAATTTTAAATTACCAAGAGCTCCATGACAGAAAGAAGGGGTAGTTTGCTGTTCTGGTAAATATTTACTGACTCAGAAACCCCACGGGGTAGTTCTAATCTGTCGTTATAGAGTGACTATGGAGCTCTGCTTGGTGGCCTTGTGGGTACGGTGTTATGCTGCCACACCAAAGGCAGGAGGTTCAAATCCATCAGCAGCAGCTCTGCAGATGGGCACCCTCCCGAAAACCTGAGGGGCAGCAGAGTTGGTGGCAACTTGTAAGCGATGAAGGGTGGTTGTTTTTCAAAAAAAGGCAAACCAGTTCGACAGCCGTGGGGGGTTTTTTTTGGGTAACATACAAATAGATAGGGTCGCCACGCATTGGAATCAAGATGATGGAAATGGACTTATTTCTACTCTCACAATCACCAACTGGCATCACTGCTGGGATCCCGTGTGAGTCGGCGCAAAAATGCGCTCAAGGAATTCTTAATGACTTCTTTTTCAGAAGAAGATCTCAGGATCTGTCCCTTGAGGCACTTCTGAATGGCCTCAAACCTTCAGCCTTTTGCTTAACCGTCTGCACAAAGGACTTCTTTATTCTGTTCTTCCCATTCTACGGCCTTTCCATTAAGGATGTACGCGTTATCTCCGTTTTACAGAGAGATTAAGTAACTCTGCCAAAGCTACACCACGGGGAAGTAACAGCGCGGGTGGAGGGTGGAGGGAGGCAGCTCGGGAGCCGAGACACAGGACCATCAAGGCCGAGGAAGCACCACCCTGGAGGGTCTCCAGCCGCCCAAAACCCAAGAGTCGAAGCCGGGGAGCCCCAAACCGCCGCCCTCACCTTTCACACCTCCGCCTGAGCCACGATCCTTTTTCCCCTAAATTGAAGTCCTAGTCATGGTGAGCCGCCAGCGAAGGTTCATGTTGTTTGGAAGGCTGCAAGACACGGGATTTAAATGACCAGCACGCGGGATAATATGGCAGTAGCCTCACAAGCCCGGAGCGGAAGTGGCCACTGGTCCAGACAGCGCTGCGGAACTACATTTCCCAGAATTCCTAGGAAACGCTTCCTCAGAGGAAGTGCCTGCCGTCTTTCTTTCCCCTAGGAGCAGGACTACACTTCTCAGAGATCCGCAGTCCTGCCAGCTAAAGAGCAAAAGGCTTTGCTGCCAAATTAGATCCGCCTCTGAGAGTTGAACAGTTCCATAGGGTTTCCTACTAACCTAAAGGTGCCATCTCTATGGCAGTTCAAATCCATTCAGCGGCTTTGCAGAACAGTGCGCAAATTCTCCTGCAATTTACAGCCTCTGGAAACCCGCTGAAGCTGAGTTGCTTCTGACCTGATTGCAATCAAGTAACAATAAGAAATGGTATAACAGTTTTCATTTGCATTTTCTTTATAACATACATGTAATATCTTCGTATTTTCAACCACCATTATTATATAATACTTTGTAAATTCTCTTAGTTCCATTGCTCTTGGGCTTTCATTTTCTCTCTTAAATTTCTAAGTTTTCTTTATATATTAGCTCTTTTGTACCATCCAGTAGGAACCAACTCATGGTTGACCCTCTAGCGGTTTTTCAGAGGAGGCTGCTCATCTTTTATTGTCTACTGGGAACAAAGAAATAGCGAGGCGGGGACACCAAGAAAGGAAAAAAAGAGCGTAAGGCAGGGGGAACAGCTTGCAGACTGCAGCAACCCCGAGTGTCTCTGTAACCTTTATTGAGAATAGCCAGGAAGTAAACGACAAAGAGAATTCTTTTTTTTTTTTTAAGACAAAATTCTTTGCAAATGAAGCTATGCTTCTCTCTGTAGAAAACTTTATGCTTATCTCAGGAATGATGGTTTTGCAAACAAGATCTGAGAATTATTAAGGGGACACTAGGTCTCCTTGGAGGCAAGGATTCTTGGGCTTCGTCTGACATACTTTGGACATGTTGTAAGGAAGGACAGGTCCTTGGAGAGGGACATCATGCTTGGGAGGGTGGAGGGACGGCGCAGGAGGGGAAGACCCTCTATGAGGTGGATTGATTCGGTGACTGGGGTAATCGGGATGGGTGTGTCAGAGACAATGCGATTGGCGCAGGATAGAGCAGGGTTTAGGGCTGTTGTACATAGGGTCGCTATGAGTTGCAAACGACTC